CATAAACACATCCCTGCAGTACAGCGAGTACTCTGCTGCATGATTACCAGTCCTGCTTATATTGGACAGTAAAAAACTGTATCGTCCTCCGAAATGCTTCGGCTCTTTTGCCTCTCTGAGCTCTATTGCTGCTGCCTATTACAGTTACTGTAGGTTAATTTGGTTTTCTACGCCACACATCATGACTGTCCATCTATAACTTTTTTCCTAACTTGTATCCATCTACCATTTCTGATCAAAGAACACCTACAAAACGTCTTTAACCACAGACAGCAGTGGGACCAGGGAATGACAGGAAAAACTATAACCCTGTACATAGTTATTTTCTTGGGATTAAGTCCCAGTGAACTCAGTGGGGCTCAATTCAGAGTGGACATGCCTAGCGTGCTGCTTCACATTTGCACACCAGAAGCAACAAAGCTTTATCAAGGCACTCAATTTTCTAAAGATTAAAGAAGAAGAAGAAGAAGAACCCTCAAAATGTATTACCTAACCCCAGGCAAACAGGAAAAGGTGTTGCTAAGATTCATACTTTTCCTTTTGCAATATCTTGCTGGGGAGGTATTAAGCAGGACAGACACATTCAGAATTTTCATTCTGATGGGAACTGTGCCTTCAGTTCCTACCCAAGACTAATCTTAACCTCTTTCATCCATACATATTCAAAATGTACCATTTAATAGGTCTTTCAGCTCAATGGTCCTCACTTGATTAATACAGTACTTCTCTAGTGCATGATAAAAGTAGAGGCTGAGAAAAAAAAATATCTTCTTTAGAATATTGCTTTAGCCACATCTCTATTATCTGCTCTTTTGTCAGACATCCAGGTTTCTCTCCTCAACTCCGTGTGTTGTGTCTGTGTGGTTTATCCACTTTCATTGTCCATTGTAGCATCCGCTTTCAAATTGTATTTTAATGCGCTTCACTCTAATATCCAGTAATCGATTTTCTTAATTGCTTTTCAATTCGCTGTCACCAAGGCTAGAGGAGAAAGAAGGCAGTATCATTGAAGTTGATGTTACAAATCCAAGGCCTGGGGGCATGCTCCTCGCGTGATCCAATCTTCCATTCAACTCAGTTGAGCTCCTCTTGAGACATGCATGATGAATTCCTAATCAGATGGGTTGTTGAAAAAGAGCTTTGTGTGCATGTGTGACATCACAATTGTTTGCTGAGGTCCACACAACTCAAGAGCAGAATGTGTTCTCTAGTTTTCTTGTTGCAGCCAAAGCTTCAAGCAGGGCTGGCCCTACCATTGGGCAAAATGGTGCATTTGCCTTAGATAAATGATATTTTTTTTATGTCACATTTCATAATGATGTCATTTGGGATTTCACGTAGGAGCATCAAATTCTTTGTCAGTCGTTGTGATAGGCATTCATTCATTCATTCATTTTTAGTGCAAGGAAGGAGAGGTGCTTGTGAACTTTCCTGCCCAGATGCCAAAATTAGTTGTCCAGCCTTTGACACTGTACATCCTAACTGGAAAGAATAGCATCATTTGCTCTGTATGCCTTAGGCAACAAAATGTTTTGAGCCAGTGCTGCTATCAGTCCCATTGCACTTATGTACCGAACATTTTTACTAATACACAGGAGAAAAGTTGTCACATTAGTAAGAGATATAGCACATAGCCATACTCCACAGAAAAAAAGAAGAAAAGAAAAGAGGAGGTGCATGGAAAGATAATCTTTGATGTATCAAGAAGAGCATAATGTTTTCTGAATTCCTTGTCTTTGTCAAATTGGGCTAGTTCAGAAGGACAGGTCACCACACTGTGGAATTTTAAAGCTGGGCAAGGTTCCTTGGGAATCTTAAAGCTGGGGGGGGGGATAGTGTGTAGTTCTTGCCTTCAGCCAAGGACAACACACTATAGTGGTGCCTTGCATAGCGACGATAATCGGTGCAGCAAAAATCGCTGCAAAGCGATTTCGTCGCTATGAGATATTAAAAAGCCCATAGGAATGCATTGAAACCCCTTCAATGCGTTCCTATGGGCTTCAGACTCACCTTTAAGCAAAAATCCTCCATACGGCGGCCATTTTCGCTGCCTGGTAAGCGAGGAATCCGTCCCAGAAAACAGCGGGCGGCCATTTTTTTTACCCAGCAGCCATTTTGGAACTGCTGATCAGCTGTTAAAAAATCATCGCTTTGCAATGATTGTTAAGCGAAACAGTGTACCGATCATCGCAAAGCGATTTTTCCCCATAGGGAACATCGCAAAGCTATCGCAAAAGCGATCACAAAAAGTTAATCACTATGCTATTTCGTCGTTAAACGGGGTGCCCGTTAAGCGAGGCACCACTGTATTTTTCCCCATAAGGTCTCTCAAATCTACGCAAAACGGCTCTAGTGTTTCATTCTTTTGAGAAGAAATACCTACAGGCGTATACATCTACAGACACAGAACAAGCACAAAAACATGGCTGATTATTAGGAAATACACAGACAACCTATTCAGAAGTTCAAATGCTTAGATGAAGCAGCAGGAATTTTACATTCATACAGATCACACAATCCCACAACTTTTATGGAAAAAGAAGAAATTTGACAGAACCTTATCATTGAGGGCAATCAGATGGGCATATAACTCAATCGTTGGTTCACGTTTGGTGCAGTTTGATCTGCCCTATTTTCTGTTGACCACATGTGTTTTCAATGAGAGCAATCCATCCCACTTGTTTTGCAAGCTGTCCTGATACTTTCTGGCACAGCACTAGGGCTAAAGTTTATTTGGTATAGCTGAGAGCACTCCTGATTATTCTGTTGCTTAATTTTCAATCAAATAGAGATGTGGGCAGTGTTATCTGAGGTCACAACTCTGTGATATACTCAGTGGGTTGTGATAATAAAAGTGACAATGGAGGAACCCCCTCATCCATTTTCATCTTTTTTAAAAAAAAACCCTGACACATCTAATACATTGGAGGTGTTTTCCCATACAATATGTATGTTTCCCATACTAGGTTGATGTACTGCTGTAGGGCCTAGGTCACTTACTTTATTTAACAAAACAAAATGTGAGAAGTCACTGCAGCCCAGAGAATGTCAACTGCAAAAAAAAGACCACCGGAGGGGGGCAGAGATGGAAGGATCAATAAACAAGAGGGGAACAAATTGGAGTGATCCAAAGAGCTGCCTGTATCCTTCTCATGGAAGAAGAAATGTTTCTCATGTGAACAGAAGGGTCACTCAAGTGCAAGATAAAATAAAATCACAGAATCATAGGATAATGGAGTTAGAAGGTGCCTATAGGGCCATCGGGTCCAACCCCAAGCTCTATACAAGAATCCAAATCAAAATATATCTGACAGATGGTTATCTAATTTTCTCTTGAATGCCTCTAGCACTGGAACATCCACCACCTCCTGAAGTAATTGGCCGTACTGTAATACTGCTTTAATGGTTATGGAGTTTTTCTGATATTCAGCTGAAAGCTGGTTCCCTGTAACTTGAAGCTATTATTACATATGTTGTACTCCAGAATGACTAAGAACAGATCCTGTTCCTCCTCTGTATGACTATCTTGAAAAGTCTATTATATCTCAGTCTTCTTTTCTCAAGGCTAGACATGCCTAGTTCAGTCTTTCCTCATAGGGCTTGTTTTCCAGTGTTCTGATCATCCTTGTTCCAGATTGTCAGCATCCTTCTTACAGTCTGGAACTGGACACAATACTCAAGATGAGGCCTAGCCAGTGCCAGAGAAAGAGGAGCTGGTACTTTATGGGATTTGGAAGCTATATTTCTGTTAATGCAGCCTAAAATAGCATTTGCCTTGTTTCTTGCAGCCACATCGCAGTGTTGGCTCATATTCACCTTGTGATCTACAATTCCTTGATCCTTCTTGCATGCTGTACTACTGAGTCAGGTATCTCCCATCTTGAAATTGTGTGTCCGAGGTTTTTTTTCCCTAGGTGTAACTTTCCACTTGTCCCTATTAAATTTTATTCTGTTGTTTTACAGCAGAATAAAATTTAATAGGGACAAGTGGAAAGTTACACCTAGGGAAAAAATGTATTCTGTTGTTTTCAGTCCAGGTCAGTCTTAGCTATTCAAGCCAATCATGTGTAATCCATAAATTTATAATGGTTCCCTGCACCCCCTCATCAACATCTTTAATAAAAATGTTCAAGAGCACCAGGCTCAGGACTGAGCCTTGTGGTACCCCACTTGTCAATTCCTCCCAGTTTGAGAAGGAGCCATTGAAAAGCACTCTCCAAATAGAATTCTGTAACCAGGTATCCACCTGACAGTTGTTCTATCCAGCCCACATCTTGTTAACTTCCTAATCAGAATATCATGGGGCACTATGTCAAAGGTTTTGCTGCTGATGTCAAGACATATTATGTCTACAGCATTCCCACTGTCCACCAGGGAGGTTACCTGATAAGATTAGTCTGACAGGATTTGTTCTTGACAAATTCATGTTGGCTTCTAGTTATTACTGTGCTGTTTTCAAGTTGCTTGCAGAGTGATCAGTTCACAATCTGTTGATGATCTGTAGCTCCTAGGTTCTTCCTAGATTGCACCAAAGCTAAGGACCTTTTAAGTACAAAATGAATCACTCCAACTTTCCCTGTCTGGCTGTGCCCATTCTTGCCAATATCAGAACTCTAGTCAGAGCTCTATAAGCAGCTCCACTGGGATGCCATATGTCTTTTAAGGTGCCCCTCCCTTTGTAAAGGTTGTCCTCCCCATCTAATCAAGGCCTTTATTTATTTATTTATTTCCTCAATTTTCTCCTCCTAATTGTCTTCCAAGGAGTTCTCTCCTGTCCCCTTTTATCTCATAACAAGCCTGTGAGATACTATAGGTCAGCCTGGCACAAACTTACCCAATGAGCTTTGTGACTGAGCAGGGGTATGAACTTGGGTTTCCCTGTAAATAGTCTGGAACTCTAGCCACTACCCTGTCCTGGCCTTTTTTTCCTACTACTCTCTTGAAAAGGGAATAATGAGAGAGATATTTTAAATGCATACAAAACCAATGGTGGTACTTACCAAAAACAGTTCTTGCAGGAACAGACTCCTTATTGATCCAAAATGAAACTTGGGAAAGGATCACAGTCATGATGCACGGGATATATGTTTGAATCATAAAATACCCCATTTTCCGTCTGAGGTGGAAGTGTACTGTCATTACAACATATTCACCTTTTAATTTAAAAAAAGTGAGAAACAATGTTTGATATTCTAAAGGCATTATTCTTTTTAAAATATGCAACACATGTAGTTTGATGATGATAACGACAATGACAACTTGCCTTTCCCCAGAAGAATTCAGCGCATCTTCCCCCCCCATCCCTCCAGTGTGCTGTAGATATAGAGGTGTGTGTGTATGTATATGTGTATAATCTCCAGAAACTACTTCTGCTCTGATTCTGAAGACAGATGATGCCATTCCAATATTACAATGTGAGAGGTTGAAGCTTGGTGAGTGCCTTGGTAGGGGTAAGTATGGAAGCTCTGAGTGAGGTGCACCATGAAAGAAGAGCAGGCTGAAGAACTATAAGTGAAAGCCCCATGGCTGAAATCTAGTAATAAGTTTTGTCCAGAGTAGCGCACTGTATTGATGGAACTTACAGAGGAATAGACCCACCTAATCCTTACTAATTCAATGGTCCTACTCTAGTTGCAACATACAACTGGATTTCAGCTAGCGAGTGCAAGAAAAATAAACACGATATTAAAATAATGATGTTCAGGAGGCAGACTATAAAACATTAATCAATAGTCATTGCCTGACATCATATATATTATAAAGAAATCTTGTAGAAAAATTGGTGGGGAGGCGGGTTAGGAATGAGCATGAAAAATATAAACCGTCTCTTCTGGTTACCACACAGACCTGTAATTATTACTTCAGATGCTTATTTTTAACACATGTGCCAAGAAAACATTCTTCTTTCCAGTACAAGAAATCATCTGTAGTCAATAAAAAACTAAAATGGCTCTTCATCAGGAGATGATAATGACATAAATCCATCATAAATGCAGCAAAAGAATTTCCTTGGTTAACATCTGAGATCTAGAAAATCTCATGAAATAGAACAAGCTTCACTGCCCATCTGAAAGGACTCATTGATAGGACCAGGCATATTTTCCCTAGGAGTCTGTTCCAAATTCTGGGACCCTAAGCAGGAAATGATCTCCCCTAAGTGGTAAACAATCACTCTGAGCTTAAAACACTCCTTATTTATAAATTATACAGTCCATAACTTGATAAACCCTCCACCGGTTAACTTGCTAGCATTATCATTATATTTTTTTTTAAAAAATAGCACTGTGTTACACATTATAATGCTCATTATTCTTCAGACAGGCAGACATGTTGTCATTTGCCTTAACTAATAGAAAGTGTGTGTGTGTCTCATTTTTCTACAGTATAAGGAATGTTCAAAGCAGCACAGGAGTCTTGTCTGCTGCACCTTCTCCAATCTCTACCTACACTTCCTTCCAAGAATGGAAAGTGCTACGATGAAAGTGATATTGCATCATTGTTAAACCACCCCAGAAGGTGAGGGTAGAAACTAGCCACCCTTCTTGTAGTGGCTTGATTTTACTGTGGCATCACATTTTGTCACATCACTTTCCACTCTAAGTAGGAAAGTCCTGTGCTATTATAGACACCATGGGGCTCTTCTTTTAAAGTTAATATACACACATCATCCAACAATGTAATAGTTAAGATGTGCCTTCATCCCATCCTCAAATAATGATTAAAGGTAAGAAATAGATAGTATCTCTTAGAAAACGAATGAGTAAACAGTGCAGATCACAGAAAAAAGCAACATCTCACAATGCATAACATAAACACTTGCTTTTTCATAAGATACCATCTAGAAATCGAAATATAACATATGATTATTATGAATTACATAAAATCCCTGGAAACTATCTCAAATAGGTTAGTGTTCCAAATATAGTTACAACAGTGACCGAATAAGCCAAATCATATATAACAATATTCCTGGGAGATCCAAATCATTTATTTTTTAAATGCCTTAATAAACGCATGATTCCCACCACCCTAATCTAGAAACAAATGATGATGCTTTTCATCAAGGCAAATCAGTAGTCCTTCTTGCTTGGCATTGTCTACTACTGTGGCAGACAGCAATCCTCTAAGGTTTCAAACCTTTTTCCCAATCATATCTCAAAGATGCCTGAAACTGAGCCTGGGACCTTCTGTATACAAAGCTACTTCACTTTCCAGCAAGCCTATTAAACACACACTTTTAAAAAGACAATTTTTAAAAGCTTTCCTGACTGATTCCATTTATACTGACATATTAGTTCACAAGTAGCATTGAAAATGCTGAGTTCACTTGTGGTTTCTAATCTGTATTCCAGAACGAGGAGTTCCCAGGCTCTAAATGGATGCCATAATAATGGCAAGATGGGTCCTCATGGGTCTAGAAAGACCTGAAACAGCACAGCTGATTCAGATGAGTCACTGATGAAAATCCACATCACAGAGAAGTACAATAAAAAAGGAGTCATACAAAAGTATGCACCGTACTTTACACAAAGTGTGAACACCAGAATTTGATGTCACGAAAACACCAGAGAAGAACTGAGATGTTTTCACCAATGAGGAGGCCAAAAGGTCTAGTGGATGACTGGAATATATGTGGTTACAGTTGAAAGGATGCAAATTCATACAGCAATTACAGGATGTTTCCCTGCCGTCTGGGGATGAAAGGAGTTGATGACCAACACATCTGAAGAATACTAGGATGGTAAAGGCTGGCATAGGGTTTCATAAGGAAGTGATTTTTTTGTGATTGTACAGATGATGTCTCAAAGAATGTCAGCTAAGGGTGACCAACACATCTTGGTTCCTTATGGGTGTTGCGATGGTCCCTTCTGTTAACTTACAAGTCTGAGGAAAAGGCTGCTGTGAAAGTGGCTTGTAACCAGGGCAGGGGGTACGGTACTTCCCCCTCAAATTCTAGACTGAGGTCATCCCCATACATACACTGATTCACAAATCTGGGCTGATGGTATCCTTGGTAAAGATGCCCTGCAAGTTGCTCTGTCAAAAGTTATGTATGTTTTCTTACAGTATGAACCAGAGGATTGGTCTGCACATGTCCACTCATGAGATGCCTCCAGTAGACTACCTTTCACAACAGGTGGGAGAGATGTCAATGATTACAGATATCAGAAATCAAGAAAGCTTCTGTGGGGAAACTTGGTCACTGCATACAAGATTAGTGTTGCAAATTAATACTAAGAAGGGGATCTCAAACCAAATCCAGTTTACAGAAGCTTTTATTTACTTAAGTCACAAACAGATCTATCATATATCCTGAAGATACTGCCCCTCTCAAAAAAACAAAACAAAACTCAGCTATTCCAAGATTTGGTGGCCTGCTGTCAAAGAGTTATATTAAATAATAATACAAAATGTGGTGGCCATAATGTCCATGGTTTTCTAAACAATCCTGACACAAAGGAATGAAAGCAATGAAGATGACATCTTATGTGCTTATGGTCCTTCTCCAAAGGGGTCCAAAATGTATTTATGTCCTTCCTTAAACTTCTGGTAACCAGAACATCTGGAGTAGAAAGCTGGAAAGACATACACAAAATAAACTACATTGGTACTGACCGACATTTCCTCTAAGGTGCACGGGTGCGTGGAAGCACAGCACTGCATTGGGTGCACACAGATGAGCCAGAGTTTTCACCCATTTACTTCTGGTCACAGCTGGAATCCCATGTACAAGAGGCAGAGCCTTCACACGGCACTCCAGAAAATGAGAGGGAACATTAGTCCTACCACCAATCAAGTGTGTGTTGTATCTGGTTCAGAATGCAATTATTACTCCCACATGAGAAGTACACAAAAAACACAGCTGGAAATGTCATATCCTAAAATGATAATGCCAAAAGCTTTTTGGATATGAAGAGCAGCCTGATATGGAATGGACAGTAGTCAAAGCAAAAACAAATCCTGCTAGGTTATTGGGATGTAAGGACTGCCCCAATAAACTAAACCTACTGAGCCCAAGGAAAACTCAGTGATACAGAAATGAAGGGAGCTAAGATGATCCATTGACGTGTGAATCCTTTTGAAGATGTCATTAAGCCTGCTCTCCACAATAAGGCACTCATCTCTCTAAAGATCTTCTACTACTTTTATGATGAGCACCTGCCATTCACCTGGTAAACACTTTCAATGTCACTGAAGAGCCACTAAATGCAAAGCTGGAACCAGTGTTTTCTGTTGCTACCCAAATACACCTCCTATGCTGTCAGTTACCAGAGATATGCAACTATGGAGTCATAAGGTCTAGTCTGAGCATTCAGAAGGAGAAGGATGACAGCCAGAGAATCAGATGGAAGTTCCTGAAGTGTAGACATTGCTGACATCATAATGGTCAAGAATCAGTTGGGGACCATCTACTTTTAGCCCCTGAAGTGCAGGAAAGAACCAAAGTTTTGTTTATTTTTTTTACTGATTTTGAAAGCTCAAAACCAGTTTACTCATCCTTTTTGGAGGATAGTGCCCATTTCCTTTCAGGAAGTTGTTAGTTATTTAACTCTGTTGTTATCGAGAGGAAGAAGAAAGCTAGTTTCAGGATCTTGCACATCATGTGCCACAATAACATGCCAGGCTTTGGGCATGCTGCATCTTGATTTGGACAGTGGGTCAGGCAGCAAAGTATCTTGCACTGACCCTGGATAGTGCTCCCTGCTCTGGGGAAAAGATGCCAGATTTGATGGTGCAGCAGGTACACATCATGAGGAAAGTTCAAAAGAGGTGATACCTTTATCAGTCCAGGAAAAACAAACATTCAGAGTATATATCATGCTTGCACTGAATGTTATATTTCAGTGGTCTAATAAAGCTATTGCCTCCCCTGAACTTTTATTTTGCAATGGACCATATCGCTCTCTTTTTATTTTTATTTGGAACATTGTGATGAGTGATTGTTCTTCATAACTGACTTCCAAGTATCAGCAAAGTCTCAGTAGCTACACACAGACAGCTGGAAAAACTGAAGGAGGTACAGTGAATGGCAAAAATTCCAAAGTACCAAACCAGAATGTTAGTTTTTGTATTTGTTTTAGTCTGAGAATTGAGACGAAGGTTTCAAGACCCCCAAACGAGAAGCAATTTCAGGTCCCTTATACATTTTGAATAGGTTTGGATGGCTACTGTGATGACAGGGATGATTTTCAGAAGCTACCTTACCAGCATGCTTTATTCTACAATTTTTTAAAAAATCCTTTCCCATCTAAAAAACATAAAACTAGAACTGTTCAGTTAATTGCCACACTCACAACTATCTTCCCTTCCACCCACGTAAAAGAAAGCTATAAACAACTCAAGCCTTCTGGTGAAAATTCTTTATGAACAAATCACTTCAAATGTTGGCTGCTATGCTAACTTAAATTCAAAGTACAGTAAAAGGTAGCCAATGTGAAGGCATCTGGGTGGGAAGTCCATTCCTCATTGCACTGCATGATCTAAAGTGCAGGCTGGAATACAAGTACCCTAGGCAGCAGGATAAGTGCCTTGGCTAAATAATCTCTGATGGATCAATGATATCTCACTTACTCATGAAATCCAATATATTCGGAAAATATTGCTTTATCTTGCTATCAGTAATGCCACTCAGAAATCTGTCAGTTACATATGCTCCCTCTGTTGCTTAATTCTGTCATGCTTCTTGCTGCAGCATTTTTAGCCACACCAATAATAGAACTTTCAGTAATATCACCACTTAACAAAACAACAGCCATCAATTTAAAAAAAAGCAACACCCACAGATCTTAAGCATGGCCGCTTCTCTCGCTGTTGCTGCCTGTTGCTGTTTTCTAGCACTACATGCCTAAAAACCCCATCAGCAACAGCTGCTATGTTTAATGTGTTTGCTCCAGTAGCAAGTCTAATATGAATGTATTTGGATAATTTGCATGCTTTTTGTAATATATGTCACAACCGCAGATCAAGAATTATAACTGTACAGACATAAAAAATAGGTGTGTTAAACACAAGTATTCATTTTACAGAGTGCATTCTCATGTTTTCTCTTTGCTTGCTGAAATGAAGAGAGACCACATGCAGCTTTAGTGCAAGCCTAAAGATAAACCATCTGAGATTTGTCATCTGCTTATGTCTCCATGAGTGCCTGCACTAAAATCTCTCTGATATCTTTCAGTGAAACAAAATGACACCACTAATTCCACAACTTAAGTTAACTATCAACAACAAGATTCTTACCTGTAATGGATTTAACAGTGTCAGTGGATGCTGTGTGCCCAAGCAGATCATACTGAACTAAACTGGAAGACTCTTCAGGAACTTCCACTGAATTCTTAGGTCCTTTTGTCCAAGTGTAAATCATTTCACTCTTTGGATATGCATCTGAACAGTGTACAATTAGAACATATAAATGAGATGTCTGGATAGACTGAGCTTAGGAACTGCTATGATCTCTAGGCAAAAACACTGAGCATATTTCTTTTGATTTAACTTGACCTAAATTGCTTAGCATTACAAACATATGCACATATCTCTCGTCATTTTATTTCTGATCTGTTTCTGACATGAAATACAAACAAGAAGGTGCTACAAGAATGTAAAATGCTGTAACAGTGACTTACAACTCCCAAATTTCAGAGGGCAAGCATGGCCATCCATGGGGAAGTCCACCAGTCTCATGGGACATTCGGCACTTATGGTGAGCCTACAAACAACAAAATGAAATCAGTCCTAGGATGGTGTTTTGCCTCAGGAGTACATTTCTCATGTAATACACACACACACTTGTAAGTACCTCATTGTATACAGGATGGTGCCATTTCTCATAATTCTAAATAGTTTATTTGGAGCTGTCATATTATGTGAGACCGATTTTTTCCCATTCCGGAAGAAAGTATCTGGTGTCCACACTTTGGTAACCATTAAATTGTTTAGTCGTAGAATTTCAATTGGACCATCATATTTTAATCTCTTGTCCACCCATGTCTGACGGAAAAACACATCCATTGTGTATTCCTACAGCAAATTGGAGGAAATGCAGACTTAATATGTTTTATATGCATAACCTTTCTATGAAATGCCCTCAAGGACAGATTAGTCATTGGTAACTACAAACTCTCTAAACACATTTCTATCAATTAAACTGAACTATGTACTCTTTAATACGTTAATTTTCCACATTAGTTACATAAATACATTGGTATACATAGTAAACCAATCAAAAATAATTACTACAATCTCATGGAATAGCAAGAAGCATGCAATTAAACTTGTACGCTAGCACAGAACTGCAAACAAACTGATGAGTTCATTAACATATGCTAATTTTATGTCCATGCTACTTTTTATAAACAGATGGACAGATTAAAATATGTTCTGGGGACACATCATTAATTAAGTCCACCAAAATCAAAGAAATAATATCTAAATTCTGCAAATAATGCACAGCTGGGATAATCCAAGTGGGGAAAAGTATTCTACAAAATGACAATATAACCTCTCATTCAGTCCTCATTAATGCAAATGATTCCATCCATTGGCTTTGTAGGAGTGCTCATAGAAACAGGAAATGTTTATATACTGTATGCTCAAATGCAGAGCACCATGTGAAGCTCAGGGTGCATAAGGAGCTGCAGAGCAAGTGGCCATAAACCTGAAGGGGCCTTTGCAAATGTGGTATACACATGGAGCAGTTCCTTCTTTTGAAATCAGTTGTCACTGGCTCCTCCCAATGATCACTTAAACATAAGTCACAATGAGTTTAGTTAAGCATAGTCACAAGTAAACTTACATAGGAGATGGAGATCTTTATGAGTTAATCATATGATGACTAGGACATTAAAGAACATTCACTGACAACTGTACAGATCAACCAAGAATGATTTATACAGTGAAGTCTTGGCTATGTATTTGCTTTGAATTAATAGTGGATGAGAAGAAAGTAACTACGAAATGAGGAACTGGATGAAGAATTCAGATACCTGAGAATTTCACTCTCTATGTTATTACCATTTGTGAAATGGTATTAATTCTAGCCCTTATGGGTACAAAGGTATGTCTGATTGTGTATGGATATTACTAGTGACATCCAGAGCTTTAAAAAGTGCCTTTTTGTTTGTTTGTTTATGACAATTCCTAGAATTCCTGGACTACCGTAGACAGTAATGACTCGGGAAGTTCTAGATCAGAAAAGTAACTTTTCTAGGCTCTTTAAATCCCAGAATTCCAAGCAGCTGCTGAATAAGCCTTCCAGTAGACGCACAGCTTCAGTGTCCCACAAAGCTGATTCTCCCAATGACTTATAGCATAAATTATGCACAAAAAGAGGTATCAGGCAAATGTGCTTGATTTGCATAATTTATACAGTTCACAGTATTCAGCATTTCTCAGCTAAGAACTTTATTTTATTTTTAGAAAAAATTCTATAGTCTTGACTCCAGTAACCCAAGACATCTAAGCATGCCTTTTTTCCGCTTTCCTTTCCTTTTTTTTTTAAGTCAACAAGATTATGAATTATTCTGTATTAGGCTGCTTAGTCTCTGAAAGAAATGCAGTGGACCCTCTACTTAAGGAATTAAATTCTTTCCAGTGTGGGTCTAAATCTAATGCAACCAAGGACTTGTTGGGGTTTGAAGTGAGCAGGTTCTCTCTCTCTCTCTCTCTCTCTCTCTGTGTGTGTGTGTGTGTGTGCGTACACAGGCACATGTGTGAGAGTGTTTCAAACTGATCGTCATCCAATATGCATGGAAAAAACAGAATCAGGTCTGCTATATCTAATAATAGTCAAAACATTAAGCTGTTGCTAATCTTCCCTACTTTGTATGATTGACAGCAGTGTACAAACACATTTGAATTAGTTGTTAATTCATCACTGAAGTGCGTAACCCCTCCCCCAATTTCAAAATATGTTTTTTTAAAAAAAACACAGGAAGAATACGTACCATCTCTACATCAGAAACCGGTCCAAAACTGGTGACATAGATATCTGTTTTGACTTCAGTAACAGGACCTATTGTATAAAAAGGAAGTGAGCAAGGAAAATCGAAATGTTTCAGGGTAAAAAGCAGGGAAAATTGTACTGGCAAGTAATGCCACATCTTATGCAATTGTCACTTTGACGATTCATTAGACTAATCGGAGGAAAATGTGCAGGCAGCATGTTCTTCTAACCAAGGCTGCTGTACTTGGAGATTCTTGCATAATTTTTGGTTTCCATATATTTCTTCTAGCTTACATAATTACACTGGTATTTGATAAACCATTATTTCCCATTGATACAGATAATCAAATGTAGGCACATGAAGATGTGAGAAATCTTTAGTCGTTTTAAAAGGGGGGCTCGTTCTTCAAACTATGATCACTAGATCTAATTCAAAGCAGGGATGCTGAAAGGTAGCACTTCATTCACAAAAGGCATATAGTGCCAAACTATGGTTTGCCGCTAGAGGAATGCTTCCCTGTGTTCTCATCAACTGGGGTGTTGTCTTTTGTGGTTTTGGAGTTCAGTTCTTATAATTCTCCAAGAATTCCAGAAATTAACAAACTTGTAGGCTTCACCTCCCACCAAGAAGGCTTCTGAGTGATTCACCTCCACCATGATTTACTCCAGCTGCCACAGTGCTTCATGGACACTGTTGTACGAGTAGCCTCCCTATAGGCTCTATAGATACTGCCTCCCAAATAACTACAACTCCCAAGAAGCATCACAGCAGCTTCCTTTTAAAACAACACCAAATCAACAAGACGAAGTAGGAAGAATCGAGAAACTGATGGTAGAAGTATGAGGTTTCTGAGTTGCAATTAGGGAATTCTAGGGACTGGAGTCCAAAACATTTTCAGAACTCTCTCTCTCTCTCTCTCTCTCTGTGTGTATACTTAGTTAAACCCATTTTTCAGTTAACAAAAAACTGTGTGTGTGTGTGTGTGTGCGTGTGTACTTAGTTAAACCCATTTTTCAGTTAGCAAAAAAACCACAGTAACAGCCTTTACAGTATGTAACAGATTATATTTTAGAAAAAAAATGTTAAATATGCAAATTACCTTAGCACCAAACCCATAGAAGAGCCACCCTCAGACTGACTGCAGATTTGCCCTTCCCCCTACCAAGATCTCCCACCCATGAACTTACACCAGAGAAAGCACAATCATTTTCTAAACATCAGAATCATTAAGAATTACTGACTGAAAGAAATTTGGTCACAGAAAGCAGAGTTAAACTGAAGTTAAAGTATGGACTAGAAAATGTTTCATCTGATTAATTTAAAAAATATCTGTAGAACCATAAAACATGAAATTCCATTACATTTTGGCCCTAAGAGTATAAGATGTAAAACATTGAACTATTATTTAATATAGTGATAAGCAAGCCGCATATTCTACAGGTCAAAATCTTGGTGCTTAGCATAGTAAATCACACAGCAAGCCCATAGAAAAGGGGATTTGGTGAGTCCATAAATTCCATTAGTTCAAATGGGCCTACTGTAACTGTAACACCTATGGCAGTAAATTACCACTCACCAGCAAGGTACAGTACTAGTTACTGTATTTTTCTCTCTGTAAGACACACTTTTCCCCCCAAAAAAATGTGTGGGGGGGAAGTGTATGCATCTTATGGATCGAAATCACCACCTTCAGGGACTCTTTTAAGGCTTGGGAAGCTTCAGAAGAGTCCCTGAAGGTGGTGATTTCGCTCCTTCTGGCCCCATGGGGGTGAGGGGGCAGGGTGAGCCTCCAAAGGGTCCTGGAAGGCACTCTTGGACCTTTTAGAGGCTTCCCCCACCCTCACCCCCGCTGGCCCAGCAGGCTGAAATTCCCAGATTATTTTTTTCCTGTTTTCTTCTCCTAAAAATTTGGTGCATCCTATGGAGAGGTGTCTTATGGAGCAAAAAATATGCTAAATTCCTGGGTGTGCACCTGATCACTGCACATGCGCATGGACACTGCTAATAGCTTGTTAATAAGCATTAATTGGCTGCTGCATGAACTCCCTTGCACAAGTATAAATCAGGAGTGGGATTCTGGCCAATGCAATGAAACATTGTAAGCCCCCAAGTTAGGAGGTAAAATGTGATCTCCTAACTAGTAATGCAATGACTTTTGCAAAGTAACGTTCTGAGCACTGAGAATTTATTTAAACATAGAGTGCTGGTCACAAGCATGGCTGGCTTTAGAAAGGAGTTTGGTCAATAATAGTTGCTGAGGATTACTCGCAGGAGAACACTACTGCCCTCATGTCCTGCTTGTGGGCTTCCATTAGGCACCTAGTTAACCAATGTGGGGACCAGACTGGCCTTTTGTGGAATCCAACATGGCTCATCCCATATTCCACTCTTTCTTCTAGAGAGGAAACTCCATAGCCTGGCCACTACTGCTTATGCTACTTCTGGTCACCATAAATAAAACCTCTGATAGTGAATAATCCACATGGAATAATCAAGTAGACAGGTTTTACTGCAAAATGTGTTGTGTAACTTAATTGAAAACCTCTGTCCTACTTCTGACAAATACCTATTTGTCAAGAATACTGGGTTACAAAGAAGCAGAGGAACTCTCACAGTCTCCCCCACCCCATCCCACCCCACCCCCAGGGTCTTCAAAGTTCCAAGCAGCTGACTTTACTGGACTCTTTGGAACAACTCTTGCAACTCAGTAGACACTGTAACAACACTTTCAGATTTCAGAACAAAAACAGAAGGCATATTTGCTTTTCGCAGAACAATACTGTACGTGAAAACATCACTTGGTGTCAAAATGAAGAAGAAAAGAAGCAAGAAGCAAACTGAAATAGTTATTTTCCATCAGCCCCATATGGTAGTTTCAAGCTAAGGGCAAAACAAAAGCTGGTTAAAAAATAAATAAAAAAAACTACTCCAGTTTGTAAATTATGATTAAAAGACCAATTAGGAAGGAAATTGACTAGTAACCACTAGTCTTCTTAATAAAGGAGTCAAGTGTAGATCACAGCCCCTGCAATGGGCTTTTGGAATTTTCTAGTTCAAAATAAACAGTATCCCCCTTTTCTCCCCCCCCCATAATTTTTCCTCTTGGTTTTTCCTTTTGATCGAGACATCATTTTACTCATACAACTAACACTTGAAAAAGCTCACATTTTTCCAGTGAAACGAAGCTTGCACGCTGCTATGACAGTTTGGGAATCTTTTTTTAAAAAAAATACAATTCTGTATACATATATAAAACAGTATAGTAAGTAAAAAAGGATCCCTGTCCCAAAGATCTTACAATCTTAAATTTAGTATGTGTGCAGAGAACAGAGGGAAAGAAGAAGCAAGGACAGGACATACGTGTAATCAAATGAGTTAAGATTTACTTATATTGGGAGAGTAAGGGTTGAACCCTCAAAAAGGAATGAGGTTAGAATCCTATGCACACTTTCTTGGAGGTAAGTAAATGTAGTGGAACATACTTTTGAAAGGTTTGGACCAAATCCTATTACAAAACGTTGAAGAAGTTAGGTCTGGAGAAGAGACAATTAACAGATACTGTTACTTTCATCATCAAATATCTGAAGTGCTATCACATGGACAACAATGAACATTTATTTTCTGTTGTCCCAGAGGGGAAGAACTGGACCAATGGGTTTAAATTAGGATTTAGGATTTAGTCCAAACATGAGGCAGAATATCCTAATAACATGATCTGTTCAACAGTGGAACAAGCTATGTTGGACCATGGTTGACCCCACTCCCTTGATATAAGTTTTTGAACACAGGTTGAATGGCCATCTGTTGAGCTCCTGCAGCAGTAAATTCCCATGCTGGACAGAGGATGGATTATGTAACAGCTTATTTACATAACAGGGATATTTTCTAGTTCTCTGATTCTGAGTAACATGTATAACCTAGACCACTGGTTATTAACCTTGTGTTACTCAGGAGTTTTGGACTGCAACTCCCAGAAGCCTTCACCACCAACTGTGCTGGCTGGGGTTTCTGGAAGTTGCAGTTCAAAAACATTCGAGTAACAAAGGTTAAGAACCACTGACCTAGACTATTCCAGCCTTGGGTCTCCAGATGTTCTTGGACAACAACTCCCAGAAATCCTGGCCAGCACAGCTAGTGGTGAAAGCTTCTGAGAGTTTTATTCCAAGAACATCAAGGCTGAGAACCACTGACGTGGTGTATATGTGGTGTTGATAGAGAATAGCAATAATATATCCATTGAGGAAGTGCTTCTCAAATTATGGGATATTTGATTCCCATTCTACATACTATTCTACTTGAAACTCTATTCTATCTCACCTTTCCAACCCAGCATTGATATTCATTGATATTTCAGGCCCTAAATGGAACAAGAAGAAAATGGGTATCACCAACCATCCTCCCACAAACGTACACAGGATAGGATTCATGGGAATCAAGAAGTAGTTCTTTCTGATTTGCCTTAAAGACCTGAGTGAGATGATAGGCTAGTAAATGACCCTCTACACAAACATCTGTTGGCAATTTTATTTGCAACTTTGCATTGGTTTGTTGTCGTACTGGAAGAGAATTTTCTGGGTTGGCATGCCTGGGTTTTCTGGGTATGTCCTGTCTATCCGTCCAGCACTAAGCAATCATTCCTTCCAGTCTTTGAATTCAAAGAAAGCCCTGCCTCTCTGCTGAGTGTCTCTTTCCCTCTCTTTTCTAGGTTGGTATCAGTTGTTTGCTTGCTGTTGATCTGTTCAGTTGGTTTCTAAGTACATGTGCAGTCAAGAAAGCAGTATAAGCAAGTTTGTAGTCTCAAGCAACTGCAAGCAAAGAATTTTGTTACTGTTTCTCCCACAAAGGTATCAGAGTGAGACTCTAAATGCCAGTCAATGAGAAAGGGATTGACTCAGGGGAACACGTAGCTATTTTCCTCTGTGGGTCTCTGTACCTTTACTGTGTAGCAAAAGAGAATTTTACCAGAAATTCAAAATTCCGCATGAATGCATGCACTGGGGAGGATGTTATGTCGTGGAGCTACAAACCCACTTGCTTCTTGATTGCTGGGGTGGGGAAGACTCCAGCT